AATTGCCTTTGATTTATGACTTAACTTGAATATATTAAGGTACATATCATTCATATTATTTGTAAATTGTTATTCAATGCTTGAGTTTTGTGACAGCCCTCGCCCGCTTTTGATGGCAACTTTTTAATAATGTATGGCGACCCGTTCAATTTAGTTAGGTCCGTCGACGAATATGTTCATATTTTGGGGCGTTGATTTTGATTGCGAATTGTTGTCTGTTCATTTATGGAATTTCATTAGCAACTCGACTCTGGACTCCTGACTGTGTCCAGCTTAAAGCGAGTGTCGAGGATGTGCTCGCATGTGTAAGCCAAATTAAAAGCAGTCCAAGCAGACAATGATATAAAAATTTATGAGCCACATTTCGTTTTATTTTCTTTTCTCATTTTTGCAACAAAAGTCAAAGGACAGCTAAGGCATTTATGGGTGCAGGACATACCACGAACAGGAGACAGTTAAGGGGGTGCTCGCTATCTCTCTCTCTCTCGCTCTCGCTCTTGCTTATTCTCGTTTTAGTTCAAGGATAATCAGTCAACATCGCGTGCCGCTAAAATTTCAAGGAGTGTGTGTGATTTTTATCATGCAAACAGCCGGAAAATGAACTAAAAAAGTGCTAAATGAGTAAGGTAAATGAAATTACCTGAACGAACACACCTCAAAATTGGACACACACACTCAGAGAGCGAGGGAGAGGGAGAGCCAGCGTGTGTCCAGCTGTGCGTGTGTGTGTGTGTTTGTATTTCCGCTTTGCCTTTGACAGCGTTGCGTGTGTGCGAGTGTGCAAAGTTTTATTAAAGAGCGGAAATTACAAATTTGTCCGCTGCTAATGGATTTCCATTTCAATTTGCACGGCTTTCGACTCGAGCGCATTTTCAACACTTTAAAAGTGTTTTCGCCACGTTGATTAGCTCACCAAAAATTTATGCAGCCTCAAAAATGTAGACAGAAAATTTCAGTTTTCTTCTTCTTCATTTTCTTTTCTTTTTTTTTTATTCGGCATTTGTTGTTGCCGTCGGTCGTCGGTTGTCCTTGCCACAAAACGCTAACGACTACAAAATTGCAAGAAAATTACCCGTTAATGTCCAACATTTATGGCCGCGACTGGAAGACGCTGTGGCAAAAGCCAGACATGGGCACCAACGGTATTCTAGCCAAAAAATACTTATAGATACAAACATATACACACATATATATATATATATATATATATATGTATATGTGTGTATATAACGAAAGGCAAAACTATTATGGCCCTTGTGCTTATTACTTGCTGACATGCAAACACTTGCGCTCTCCTTCTGGCCAAATTCTGCCTCCGTCTCTTTTCAACAGCTGTCCGCGCTGATGCCAAGGACAAGGACATGGCGAACTGACTTTAATGTGCGTGGGTGATATATTGTATATTGGTAACTGTGTTGGGCTTTAAGCCCACCTGCCATTTAATATTTAAGTTATTTTGGCATTTAATTTCGAGCCACGCACACACATTTACCATAATAAATAATAACATGACACATATCAGCCTCAATTTATAAGCACAAATCGAAAAAGTAAATAAAATTGCTTTTCAGCGACGGCCAAAATATCAACTCAGAAACTTAGCGAACCTGACACACATGTCGAGCAGTCATTAATAATGTAGCTGGATGCCACATTCAAGTGGCTCACAATGAAAATCGACAGTCCAACCACAGTCCAACCCCGCCACCTCAAAGCCGAAGGGTGGCTGAACGAACCTCTTGTGAGCAAGCGGAATGTCAAACGTGCCGCTTGCCACTGTCAAAGTAAATTTATGCACCCACCACGCTCCGTGTGGTTCGGTGGTTGGGTGGTTCGCCTGTCGGCAATACGAAATTCCAGTCAAACTAAAAGTATTTTCTAGTTGCGCCCAATGTCTGCTTTGCTGTCTGCAACTAATTTCAATATCATCAAAAATTAATTTCACTAATTCGATTAGAGGCCACATTTTCCCCCACAAACAAACAGATATATTAAAGCTGCACCACTCAGGCTGCGTGTGTGCTGATGCTCTTCCTCTTCCTTCTTCTCTGCATTCATTAATTTAAGTCAGCTCCCATTCTAGCTCTGACTTGGTCCACTACGATGTGGCAATGGCGTGTGCCTTACGCTCAACTGTCGATAATATATGGACATTAGCTTCATGATGGCTCGCAAGACCGTTTTTAGGCAAGGAGCTAATTGCCTAAATGTTGCCACTTAAGGCGATCTTAAGCTCCAGGAAAACAAAGTACAGTATGTGAGGCATGACTGGATTGGCAATCAATAAGTCATCATCATATATACTAAAACTATATATTTCCAAAAGTGCGACTGTTTTAATTTACATTTCAAAATTGATTTGGTTTCAGGTATGGCGCAGGCCATGAAGTTGTTTAATGTATATATATTTGCAATATCTCTCTCTATCTCTCTCTTCCTCTTTTCTTTGTTTCTCACTCGTAATCTCTCTCTCTCTTCGTTGCTCTCTCCCTACTTATTTTTATTTATATTCTCCCTCTATCTCCATCTCTAGAGTTATTCCCATTTCTATTTCTTTCCCTCTTTCTCTCCCTTTCTTTTTCACATTCGCCCTCCATTCACTATCGCTCTTCCTCTGCGTTTCTCTCGCTTTCCACCCCACACTCTCTACTCGGTTTCTCCATCTAACTCCACATCTCCCGCTATCTATATATACAATAAATATCTTTCTCTCTGACTCTCTCCGTTTATATATCTCTCTCTCTCTCTCGCTCTCCTCCTCTTTGTTTTCCTCTCTCTCTCTCTCTCTCTCTTTCTCTTTCTCTATCTCATTTCCTTCATATTTCGCTCATCTCTCATATAGCTCTCGCCCTTTCTCTTTCCTTTTGCCTCACCTTCTTTCTTTAACATTTTGCCATCCAACCTCAATCAGCCTTAAAAGCCATCCGCCTCCCCATGCCCACAGCTCCTCAGCTGACTGAGCATTTAATTAGGTTTCAGGAATAAACTCCATCTTAAAAAATATATCAAATAAAAATGACAAACCTTAATAGCGCATTACACACAACATTTGCGTTTTCATTTAAGGGGAAGGCGAAAAAACATGCTCATGCAAATGAAATCCGAGGAAAAAGACGTGCTACCTGCTCCTCTTCCACAGCATCAACTGGGGGTTTTCTTTATATTTAATTTGGCTTTATGGGTGCAGCCGCGCCTTATTTCATTTCAAGCAAACAAAGAGCAAAGCCAAATAAAAAGAAATGCTTTGGACCCATATGTGAGTGTGTGTGTGTGTGTGTGTGTGTGTGTGTGTGTGTGTGAAAAGGCATTTGTAAAAAGCCAAATGGAAGCCAAACATATTCACATCAAGCGCCAAAAGTCACGAGTGAAGTGGAGGGGTGGGCTATGAGTCGCGGGTAACTTCAATCCCCGACCCAATTCTCAGACCCTGCTCTGCTCTGCTCTGCGAGCCAAACGTGCGCTTGGCTTACACTAATTGTCTTTGCTGTGCGTGCGTGCGAGCTGTGAGGGTGTCTCCCTGTGTGTGTGTGTGGGTGGGTGTATGTGTGCGTGCATATACATATGTATTTACAGGATGTTTAGCTACGCGTGTGCGCCAGTTGCCTTTTATGGTCACTCTAAATAGCAGCCTCCAAAGCAAATGTGAATTCCTCACCTGCAGCCTTAGACTACATACATACATTCATATTTGTATATTCTGTGCATATTGTTGCACACCTGGGCAATTATGCACACTATTTATAAGGCGAATGCAGTCTCATAATACGCTTAATGATCAAAAATACATTTTAATAAAGGCGCAGCGGCAACAGCTCGCGCCTTCGCTATGTCAGACACTTCCGTTCGCTTGACTCAGCAGAAAAACCAGCAAGAAAACAAGAAAAACAAAAAATATAATAAATAATAAAAATGTCTATGAGTATATTAAAAGATATACGATATGCATGGATACATGTACATACATGTGTATGTAGAGACTTATGCATGTAAGTATGTGTGTTTGCATGCATATTCGAATTTATTTACGCCTGCACTTAGCGCACGTCTATCAAATATCTCCAGCTGTGAGAGACGCCGCAGGATTCGGTTGATGGTTCGTCGTTGGTTGGTTGGTTGTATTGTCATAGTGGGTGCCAATTAAGAGTCGCCAAGGCTGCAATGCTACAGTGGTAATAAGGCAGCACGGCAGGGTAACAAGTCACTCAGTTAGTCAGGGTGCGCAGCGTGTGGGCGCTCGCATGCCAAACTAAATTAATTGCAGTCCTTTGGCCCAGGGACCTGCCGACTCCGCACACTCGTGCAGCTGATGTGCAAATTAACATTACAATAGCAATAAGAATGAGTGCTGCTGCTCTATGGCTAAAACTAGCCAAGATTAATCGGCCTGATTAACCACACGCAGTCCCCACTGTATGTATGTATGGATATGTATCTTTATATACGCAAATATGTATGTGTATACATGTATTTTATATATGTACATACATATGTATGTATTTAATTCGACTCAAGTCGCCTTTAAGCAATTATTTTGAATGACTCTTCTAAGTGATATTTCCATTGAGTTTGTATGTATGTATGTATGTATATGTCTACATACATACATACATTCATATCTACACTTTCTGCCTGAGTCTTTTTTATTGTGTGAGTGAAAGACACTTATTTGCAGATATCGAAAAAGTGTCAACACTCATTTGCGACTCTGACAGTATTTATTTTAGTATTTATTTTTTCATTTTTGATATTTTGTCCGTAAATATATTTAAGCTCACGCTTTCGTCTATCGATCAGCTGTCCAAATTAAAATTCTTGAAAACCCTATGCTCTGAGCTTGAAGATGAGAGTTGCATTGGTCCTTTGACCGATCTAACTGAACTTGAGTATCTTACTCTATGGATGCATACTAAAAAAACTTCTGAACAGCTATGTGTGTATATCCAAACATTGTCAGATTTTGCAAAAAGCTAAAGTACCTCTCTATAAAGCGTAAAGATCAATAAAGCTATGGAAGTATTGCGGACTGTGCGGCAAATTAATAAGTATAGGCCCATAAAATTATATTGCCGGAGAGTGGTAAGCTTATCCATAAAATAATTTGTTTTCAAATTATAATTATTGTTTTCTTTAGTTAAGGACATACCGGATTATTACTTGCTCTTGACAAGGCCTTCATTGTTTCTATAAATATATCGAGTTTAAGTATATAGTATATACATACATCAACTCAACTATGTGCACGATGAGCTCAGATGCCTAGATCGCTTGACAAATCTAGCTGTAATTAAGGGGCTCTATATAAGATTGAAATTCATCATATGTTATTAACTTTACTTTTTGATAATAAATATATCTGTAATATCTGAAGTATTTTTCAAAATAAATATTTTGTTTTCCATACTAGTGAATATCATAGAGTACATCAAATTGTATACCTCATAATTGTAAAAAGTAAGTCTTTGAAATACCGTGCATATTCCTCTGTTGAAATGATATATGGGCTAGCAAAGAACCCAGTCATGCTCTCGACATAAATCTGCTCAAAATAATGAAGCATTAAAAATGACAAACAAGGCAAACGCCGGAGCAGGGGCAGAGGCAGAGTCAGTACACAGACAGTTTTCGTTTTTAATCTGTGACGTCACGCACTCGACAAAAACTATAAACGAATTTGAATGCTCTTTGTTAGCTCGTAATGAACTGCTAAAGTAAGTACGCCTCTGTTTTCTCAAAGATCTCTCAACCTACACCTGAGCTACATTTATTTTATTTTGTTTTTTTTCTGATGCCCCTGATTGCTCTTTGGCCAATTGCCAGATTGTGTGTGCGTGTGTGTGTGTGTGTGAGTATTTGTTTGTCGTCTTTTGTAATTAGTAGCACTCGCCCAGCAGCCCAAGCAAAGAAAAGACAAAACATCTCAATGTCTAACACTGCTCGATCCCCTGCACCAGCTTGAGATACAGCTACTATAGTAATCCTTTAAAGCCTCATTTTAACAGATTTATCTTTAACATTGATAAAAGCTCACATGTTCATCAAATTATCTGAAATATTTATGTTATTTCATTTATTAGAGGTGATTTTTGTTATTGGATAATTTGGCAATGAACCAAGAAAAAGCAGCCACAGCATCAGCACCATCACAGCAGCAACAACAACAAGAACAGCAACAACAACGGATTTGTACAGGTGTGAAAAGTCTGTGATCAAAATGTCTTTGGCGTTTGGCTAGTTTTCTTTGCCCTTTTATTCTGTATATTTGAATCACTTGAAGAAGATTCTGCTTGCAATAGATTGCCTTCAGAGCTTGAGCTAAGCTAATTGCATTTAAATGTCGTTGAGTGGGGCAATCAATGTGGTTTAACCTTTGAAAAGTTGAAAAGTCAACGTTAAACAGATTGCCCAGCTCACGCATCGTTTTAGCCACGCCCTCAGTGTGTCAAACACGCTAATTTACTGCTACATTATTTACATGTATACTCACACACACACACAGACACACACACACACACACAGCGATAAAACTGAAAGGTTGTCACTTTGGAGGCGTTAGGCGGTCGCTCGTTTCATGGCATTTGCTGTAGAATGGATGGCTGAGCACACACAATAAGAACAAAAAGACCAAGAATAAATACAACATCGACGAGGAGGTGACAACAGGGCGCATGAGCAATGCCCTTGCTGCTGGCAACATGGACGAAATGTTGCCAAGCCAAAGTAATAAACACTTGCGAAATAAATAAAACAATATTTAATGATAAAATAAATAATGTTAAATATACTAAAAACTATCATTTTAAAGTAGAGCAAACATTAAAAACTTTGCATTTGCATGGTCTAGGCAATTGTGAATGTGTTTCGGGTTAATTTGTTGCGAAGCAAACAAAAGTTGCTAAGGTATGAGCTGGCAACATGAATGGCATCCACAAAGTTTCCCGCCAATTGCAGGCCAAGCCGAAGTGTACACATACACACACACACATATATATGTATATACACTAGCAGTGTTAGTAGCAACCCCGAAAAGCCGCAAAGCACACAACGCCGTGTTGGGGGTGGGGCCGACGCGTGCCTGGCGCTTGGCTTGGGTTGGTTTGGGTTAGGCTAGTCGTCACCTGACGCTCCATCGGCTGCCGTTTCGTACGGCAAAGAGCATCAAATCTGCTCCAAAGCTTAAGCCCAAACCAAAAGCCGGCAACTGACTAGAACACGCAGACCCCCCGACCTCTCGCGCCGTCATCACCGCCGCTGCCGACCGATCCACATACAAAACTGTTATTTACATTTTGTTTTGCCGGCATTTCAGCTACACACGAAGCGGCCACAGCCGAGCCGAACACCATCGCGAGCCGAAGGCAGGCAGCCCTTCGGCCTGTCGTTCGTTTCGTGCTCGCATTTGTCAGCGCCCGTTTCCGAAACGTTTCGAACATCGCATCAGTTGGCAACGGCCTGTACGCTAACACGGACGTCAGTATCGCACGCCATTTGGCCCCATCATATCAAGCAACACACAAAATTTTTGAATTTCTGAATTCAGCCATTTTTGAGCTGCTTTCTGTGTGTTATTTTCAGTTATCGCGATTTGCGTTCGAAATGTGCAATTGGTGCAAATCATTTGATGCAATGAATTGAGAAAATTGCCTGGGCCCAGCCATGCGAAACCAAAACAACAACCAAAATCAAGAAAAATGCTAAGCAAAGAAAAGAAAGAGCAAGTAAAATGAATTACAATTTTGAATGAAAAAAGTGTTAAACATTTCAACAGAATTCTGTGTGTGAAAAGTCAACGTGTGTTTGCAACCAAAGCCAACAGCTGATATGTCGCAAGAGGTAAATTCCTAGAGAAAACAAAAACAAAATTGTACACAGCAAATGTTAATTAAAGACAGGCGCAAAGCTAAAAAAAAAAAGAAAAAGCCGCATGGAAAATGTTATTGAGGCTGCCAGAGCCAATCCCATCCATCACTCAATTGCCTGTTCAGTAATTTGAACAGTTTTTGTTGACTCTTCTTTGCTCTCTGGCAGGGACAACGCGAAGTTCACTATATATTATTTATTTTTATTTTTATTTTTTTTTGTATTTGAATTCATTTGATTTCTGCTTAAGCAACTGTGCATTAAGTTTAATTATAAAATTTTAATTGAGAGAAATACGCCACAATGCACATGTGCTTCTAGCTGTTGTTGTTGTTGTTGATGTCGGATTTGTTATTGTTATTGTTATTGTATTGTGCTCCATTGCGTCAGTTCCCCATTTTTGTAGTCGTAGGCAAGAGCCCATCGTCTGGTCGTTAGCGATAAATAATCAGCAGCCGCTTTGATTTGCGTTCGGCTGCCATAAATATTTATGCAACTGGACGCAGTTGTTTAAACAGACGGACGGACGGAGAGCACTTCATAAGTATCTGTAACGGCTCGATTGATCCGTCATGCCACAATTATGTTGCCATATCATAAATGAAATTGTTTACGACCTGAACACGCCCACACAATTAAAACTTTGATATTTGAATAGTTTACATATACATATACATATGTACATATAGTATGCATATATATGTATGTCTGTATTTATTTGTATACCTTAGCCTTGTTTTGATCTTATCAGTTGAGGCGCCTCTCTAGCTCTCAGACCTATGCACAATCTGTTTCTCATTGTTCTTGCTGTTGTTGTTGTTATTGTTGCTGGTTTAGTTTGAGCCCATTGCTGTTGCATGTTGAGGCTAACAAAATAATTGACAAAACAAATCATTTACGTGGCAAAAAGTTTTCGGTTAAACTGCAGCGCACGGCGACGGAACACGCAACGCGAATAACTGACGACATTGGCAAGGGATATATATATATACATATACATATTTATAGTTAAATGTATATCGCCTAACAATGGAAGACACAACAATGTAAATTCCAATGTTGCAGTCTGTCCATGTGTGTGTGAGTGCTTGAGCGGTATAGGCGAATGCCATTTGTAGCATAAACAACAACAAATTTAACAATTTAAAGTGCCAAAATTTGTTCAACATAATATTTATGAATTCAATTGCATTCGCTCTAAGCTGTTCATGTAAAAAAAATTGTTTCGTCTTATATAAATATATATATTTTTAAGCGGCTTGGATGTTGGACTCGACTCTCTTAATCAAAACTCCAGTTTCAAGCTTCGATTTACTTAAAACTTATTTACTATACAATTTATGTATTACTATTATTACTATTATTACTCGAGCTTTATTTTACCGAAGATATTTACTCTATTTAAAATATTTGAAGTTGAACAAATTTTATTGTTTTATTTTTTCATTAAAAATTTTAAGATATATTTTTTTTAACTATTCACAGTATCATTTTTTTTTTATCCAGTTTTTTTTTTGGAATTATTGTTTTTAAAAATAATTTATTTTGTAATAAATAAAATTGGATGACATATATATCCCTCGGCTAATATTATTTTGCCAAATAAACATTATTTAGTATCACAACAATATTTAGTAGATTCCATAATCATATCATTATATTTCCCTCCGTTCAATCTGTGCTAATGCTCATTAGCTACAACAATAAATTTAGTCTATTTGATTGCCCTTTTCCTTTTTGCCTTTTTTTTGTTCTCATCTATTTCTAAGAGCTCAACTCGTTAACTAGTTCTGAGATTCGAACTTGAATTTCTCGCCTTGTTTACCATACTTCCAAATTATATACATATATACGAATTGAGCATGTTACACATACGCCCCGTCTGCCCATTTGCATTTGAGCAATGGTTTATAAATTCATTTGTCTATAATCATCTGGTGCTGGTGCTGCTTCGGCCTCTTCTTCTTCTACCTCTTTCATTTGATGTTGGATATTTTTCATGTGAAGACTTCCCGATTACTGCGAAAACATCTGGCAATCCAGCAGTATTCGGAGGCCATAAATCTGCCCATTGACTGGCGCTTAGTGCCGCCGAAATAGATTTATGTTGACTCTGTCTGAAAATCATATAAAAATTTCTGTTAATTGGCCAAATCAATCAATTACTCTCCACATATTTGCTGATTCAATGCAACAAGAGTATCGGAAAATGAAAATGAATGCAAGCGAAAACTTTTAACCACAATTTAAATTACATTTGGGGCGAAAGTTCCGCAAATTTTTGTCGTCTGTGGCTGGGCAATTCAAGGGTGTTTATTTGGTTTGTGGCTCACAGTCGATTGCCTGATTTACACACAAACACACACACACACACATAGAGCGAGAGTAAACATGTTAACAAGTTAACAAGCTGTTAAACACACTCCATGAGCGCAGTTGGCGCAATTTTTTATTGCTCAAAATCCCAACATTTATTGCTATTAGTTTTTGGTTATTGCCTGACAAGGACT